TTTGTTTTTCTCTTACGTACAAAAACATTAACGTACACGGTCAACATGGTGGACTACATGGGGGCAATGCAGGGAATCAAAAACCAGGCGTCCGAATGTGACTTGACCGTCAAATCTTTTGAGGAATCTCCTTCTCCAATGAGGACGAGGAAGTTATCCGGTGGAGTCGAGTCCACCGTAATCATCAAGGCGGCTGAGATGGATAGGTCAAGACAGGCCGAGGAGTCTTTGAGGACGGTTATGTACCTGAGCTGTTGGGGTCCCCATTGAAACATTCTTTTGAAAACTAAAAAAAATAGTGAGATGTTATGTTCTAATGTCTATTTTGTAGTAGTGATGATATCAATTTTATTGCATTTGGTAATGTCCAAGTTATTTTGTGTACACATTGCAGTTATATTACTCATCAAGAAATAATGATGAAATAAATAGTGAAATGGATTGGATAACTAAACTTATTTTATTGCATGTCATCTTAATCTCAAAGTCCAAACATTATCTCTAATTAATTAAGTGAACATTATAATCATTAGATAGGGGTTTACACGAGCCGAGCTAACTGGGGCACTTAATATACGAATTCGGGAAAAATCGAAGTTAAAGGTTAATTGAAATGACGTGGAAAAAAAATTAGACACCCCAAACACTTCAGTAATTATGTTTTATCAAACATATCATATTTTCAATGGACAGTATTTTAAATTAGTGCTCTGATTTGCAAAGAAAAGAAAGCAGGATAATTTTGAAAAGAAGGCAAAACAAAAGCTAAAACCAAGAAGCACAAAGCCAAAAGCAACACAACCAGTCAAAAGCGGAACACAAACAGGGAGAATTTTGAAAGAAGCAGGATAATTGTTTATTCCTTGCCAATCCAATCCAACTAGCTTCCACACTTTAACTGAAATATATATTAGAGACACACTAATTTCATGCTTCATTATTTGGCAATACATCCGAAAAAAAAACAAATAAAAATACAAAGAGACACACCATCATCCCAACAAATTTATAAACAACCATCATTTCATTTCATAAAAATTCCTTTTGACACTAAGAGTTAAAAATCCATACAATCTCTATTTTTTTTAGTCCATACAATCTCTATTTAAAATGACAGGAAAGTGAAAAAAGATCAAGAAAACAAGTTTTGAACCCCAAATTGCACCTAGTATATCCCTAATAACACCAAACTACAAATACACACAGAAAAAAAAAATTCAATATCCATTCTTTTGAATGAATTTCTTCCCTTTCTCATCATATTCATACTATCCCCTTCTTCATCTCAAAGGAGCCATTCCCATTGCTATTGCCATTGGCATGCCCATTGGCATACCCACCCTCACCCCCGACGAACCTCGACCAGAACCAGTGCTGCCGCCACACGACCCCCATCTCCTCAATCGGAATATTCTTCGTCTCGGGCAGGAAGAAGTACACGAAGGCCGTCATCACACACACCCAAAACCCGAAGAAGAGGAAAAGCCCGAACTTGAGGTGGCAGAGCATAGTCAAGAACACCTGTGCCACCGCGAACGTGAAGACCATGTTGACCGACACGTTCAAGCTCTGGGCCGCCGACCGAATCTCGAGGGGGAAGATCTCGCTCGGGACCAACCACCCTAGCGGGCCCCACGACCACGCGAACCCCGCCACGTAGATGCAGATGAATAGCACCACCACGATGGCATACCACTTGGGGAGCTCCCCCGGGTTCCCATCCACACCGAACTTCACTGCTATGCAGATCGCCACTACTATCTGAAATCCATATTTCAAATTAAAAAAAAAAAAAAATCAATTATCGTTGCTTTTATAACTTTTGTTATTCCGTAATTTAAGAATCAGGATCAATAGTGTTCTCACTTCCTCTCGGTGACTCCAACTTATGACCTATCAGTCAGTCATAGGTGAATCAACCAGCTAAACAAGTTGAATCTAGGAGTACTATACACAAACACACACAACCTAAACACAACTATTTTAAAAGATGGGGTTACTTTCGTAATTTTACCTGACAGACGAGCATCTGAATCCCGCCCTCGAGGAACAAAAACCTCCTCCCCCACTTGTCGACCCCGTAAATCGACACTGCCGTGGCAAACACGTTGACTCCACCTGTGATCACCGCCGACATCAGCGCGGCATCACCCCCGAACCCGATCGTCTTGAAAAGCACGGGCGCGTAGAACATGATCACGTTTATCCCAGTCAACTGCTGGAAAAACGGGATGGCCACGGCCATCGTGAGGTGGGGCCGGTACTTCTTTTGAAGGAGGTTCCGCCACGGGTGCTCGACTTTCTTCGACTCCTCGCTGGCGGCGACGAGGTCGTCGAACTCCTCGTCGACGTCAGAGAGGCCGCGGATCCTACGGAGCCGCGACCGGGCGGCCTCGTGGTGGCCGCGCTCGATCATGGAGTTGGGGGTCTCCGGGAGGACGAGGGAGCCGACGGTGATGATGAGAGCGGGGACCACCGCGCCACCGAGGCTGAGCCGCCAGCCCCAGCCGCCGCGGATCTTGGCGAAGCCGTAGTTGAGGACGTTGGCGGCGAGGATGCCGATTGTGATTGACAGCTGGAATCCGATGTTGAGGGCCCCACGGTATTTGTATGGGGCCATCTCGGATAGATACAATGGGACGGCCTGGCATAGGGAAAACAAAAGGATCAAATCAATAATTATAATTGAATACACGTGTCATATTGCATTTGTTGTGATGTATTATAAGTATAGTAAATAAGTTATTTCATTTCACCGTAGGAGAAAAGGTAAAAAGGAACTAATTAGTTGTTTTTATAAATATTTTGATTTAAGTAGAACAACGAACAAGATAAATAGAAGTATAACATTTGAACGTGAGAATATATATTTTGACTCGATAAGATTAACAAGAGAGTTACTCGAAAATCTAAACATATAGTTTCTTAAGAGAATTCGACCTTATCGGTATGAACAGTGCTCACAGTGAAATTTGAGCCGTCAGATCAAACAGACACTCGTGTTGGTGTGTGTCGGTTCGAACATGGTACCCATATTCAGACATCATTTTGATGGCTATATACTCTATAGTATATCCAAAAGACTTGTCCAAAACCCCTTCATTTAATAATTATAGATTAGATCTGAACTACTTACCAGCCACGCCAGCTTTTTGTAATTATTAGCATAAAAATCACTCAAAAAGAAAAGTACAGAAAGAAACAGAAATTTCAATTTTCCAACTGGACTTACCTGATTGGCGAACCCAATTCCAAAACCCAGCAGAATCCGGCCCAATATCAACATCCACACCCCACGCGCGAACCCGTTGATCAACGCGCCGGCGCAGAACAGCACGCCGCCGAACAGCATCGACAGCTTCCGGCCGAGCCGCCTCGTCACCGTCGACGCCGCCAGCGAGGAGAGGAGCGCCGCCAGGTAGAGCGACGACGTGAACATTGTCAGCGTCTCGCTGTCGAACTTGCAGTACTGACTCGTCGAGTCATCGGCCATCTGTTTCCGGTAAACCGACGGGAAAAACCGCTCGAGAAACGAGTCCATTGACGTCACACCACCTGCCGCCCAAACGCGCCCTTAGTCTCCCAGATCTAGTTTTTGGAACATAAAATTGAAACAAAATGATTTTGAATTGAAAGTTGGTAAAGAGCGAACCTGAAATTCCGATGTCGTAGCCGAAGATGAGGCCGCCCATGGCCGCGATGATGCAGGTGACAACGACGTAAGGGGTTAGGTTGCCGGGATATGCTTTTCCGGCGCCGGGGCCAGGGCCAAAACCGCCGCCCGCCATATTTTTCTTTTTCTTTTTTCCTAGTGGGAGAAAAATGTGTGTTGTGCGTGTTAATTTGAAGTAGGTGTGTTGAGGAAAGTGAAGTGGAATGAGAAGGCACATGTGAAGGAGAGTGTATATATAGAGAAAAAATTGTGAATAGTGTTTGACTTAAATTCAATGGGTACATAATTTTCTACTGCTATAATAGAACATTAGAACTTAGCTGTCAATATTACGGAGAGATATTAAACGAACCGAGCCGCTCTTGAGTTTGGCTCGACTCGACTCAGCTCGTTAAGGCTCGAGTTTGGTTCGACTCATTTAATAAACGAGTCGAGCTCGAGCTTCTTAAAACTCGTTTCGTTAATGAACTGGACTTGACTTGACTCGGCTCGATAAAGCTAAAAAAACGAATATATAATTTATTGTAGTTCAGCCAATTAAAACTCGTGATATCGAATCATTAAGACTCGAACTCGATTCGTTAATATTATTAATCGAGCCGATCTCAAGTTCGATTTTTCGCTCATTTATTTAACGAGCTGAGTCGAGCTCGGTTCGCTCTTTTATAACCCTATGTAGCAATACACTTACTAGAGTATATAATTTCAATTACACAATTTGTTTGTGTGGGCATATCTAATGGTCTTAATTTTTTCTATAATAAAAATAAATATTTATATCATGAAATATTGTTTAAGTTGGTTTTCTAGATTACGACATTTCATAATCCGTGAGAATTTGTGATTTCACATGTGTCATTGATCAATTTTGGTATGTCGAAAATCAATCATATACTGTTGGTTCATATCATTATCATGTATATAGTAATAGTTTTTATATAGATATTCAAAACATCAATTCATATTGTACTACTTCAGATTATGTAAATAGAACTATTTCTTTATATATTAATCAAATCCATCCTAAAATCGAGCTCATTTTTACTACTGTTCACATCATGCAAATGGTATTATTTCTTAATTAACGTATAAATTTAATCCATCACCCATTCCAGATTGTTATCTTATTTATCTATGACAAATTTTCGTGTGAGTGACTAAACGTTAATCGAATTGACTCGTCGCGAACAAATATATATATTCATACTATCAAATATTATATACATGTTTATGTTATTTTTTAAAATTTGATATATTATAATGAAAGTATAATAGTATACTGGTCTAATTAGATTGGCTTAACAGAAAAGAGAGAGGAATCAATTTTTTTTTTTTTTTTAATTTTATTGAAGAAAAAGAAGGAGGGTAGCAAATTAAAATAGTGCCCAAATGGATAAAGTTTTCCATATGCATGGCTGAGTCATTTTATTCGTGTTCAACTGTATAAAATCCTTTATCCGTGTGCGGAAATAATTATGTAATTGTTTAGCTAAACGTTGGGACAATCTTAATTTTAAAGTATTGGTATAGTTAAAGAAACGTGAAATTTTAAGGTATTGTACTATTCATCCGTTCCCATCCAAACGCGCCTCACAAGCTAACTTATTTTAAGGTATTGTATTACCAAACAAGGCTTATTTGAATACAGGAAGCTTATAAGCTAACCAAATAAGCTATATGCTAACTTATTTGACTATCAAACATATGGAAAGAAAAAATATCAAACTATTTGTATGGAGTCAATCATTAAAGAAATTCATGAGTTGAGAGAGCGTTCAATGTAAATTTGTTAATTTCAAGGTTTAAAACCTTATAATTTATATTGCACCATTATTATGTATAATTTTATAATACAACTTTCTATATTTTTTATGTACATTAGATTAAATTTAAGATTATTAAAAAATATATAGTCCCCCCCAAAAAAATTTCTGGATCCGCCCTTGCTCAGCTTGTTAATATTGATAGACGAGCGAATTCGATTTCCGGCTAGTTTACATAACGAGCCTAGTCAGACTTGATCTGCTAAAGCTCGAGTTGGGCTCGTTTACAGCTATAGAAACAAAAATATGATAGGTTACGATGAGGAAATAGGGTTACATACACAGAGAAATTACACAATATGCATGACACGTCAAGAACAACCCAAATACCATAAAAAATATGATAGCACAATTTGCGACTTTAATCACTATAAAAACTAAGCAAATAGAAAACTAATATGTAGTAAAGCTTTGTAATTTTTGGCTGGTCAAGTCAAATTTTTTATGTAAAGCAACTACTATGGGTGATAATGTGACCAAGAGAATTTAAATGCCAAGTTCACTATATAAGGTGTAATCATCTCATTTTTTAAAAAACTAATTTTCCAATTACCAAAAGCAATCACTATGCTTTTGCAGCTATAGTTGGGGAAAAAGGACAGACACACCAATTGCAACAGATTTGTTAGATGGGACTAAAAAATGGCTCAATTCCAAAGATTTCCCAAAAAAATTGTGATTTCTACTCACTAATTTTCCACACCCACCAAATTATGACAATCCAAACAAACAAGAAAAAAAAAAATGATTTTAAAAAACCGCAAAGATTAAATCACAATACATAGTAGTAACTTTATTTTTCTATTTATTAAAGAGTGAATTTTAGAAAATTCTAATTATTCAGTTCACACTAATTCAATTATTCAAAGTTCAAACACGAGGGCTTCACTGAAAATTGAAGTCAAGCAAAGTCGACAGCAAGTGGCTTGTTATTTGTTTTAAGTTAATAGTATATATGTGGTCCTTTTTCGAGATTTTGCAACTTGGGAGATGGTTCCACTCTCTTTCTCATGCATACCATCACTTGATCAAATATATTTTTAAAAGTTGTGATTTGATATAAATTTAAATTTTTTAATATTTATTTTTCTTGGTTAGTCAACTGTGGTTAAAACAATTCGACAAAAGAAAATTGACTATTGAATATAATTTTTTATTTAAAAAAAAAAGTATAAAAGGAGTATTTTCTTAAAGTAGAATATAATCAAATTATGAATGTACGATAAAAATATAAGTATTGATGAACAATATTCTAATTAAAAAATATATACTATTATTTCGTTTTTATTTTTAAATTGAGTTAGTGAATTGTAATTAAAAAAAGATATGAAATGAACGGAATTTAACGCAGTCTATTTTTTTTCTGTATTCGCACCAAACAATTAAACAGAAATTTATAAATAAATAAAAGAAATTAATAATTCAATAATAATGTTGAAATTTGTACGGTCTGTAGTCAATACGAGACTCCATAAATATGTGAAGTACAATTTTTTGATAATATAATTACTAGAAATTTTGATTTATTTTATTAAACAATGAGTAGTTTAATTTTTTAGCCATTACTTAAATAATTCTTGAGCTAAGAAATATTTCTTATAAATACTTTATAAAATAATAATTTAGAGTGTGGGCCGAGTAGTATATAAATTTATAAATGCGCCCACTCCTATGGGGCCGAGTAGGCCCATTTGAGCTAGGTTAGCCAAGTCAACAGCTGGACGTCATGAACGGAAAGTCAACTAAAGGGACACAATTCCATCATGTTGACCTTTTTGATTGAATGTTACTCCCCAAAACCAAGGGCTGATTTATAAAGTAACATCACAATCAAGTACAAAAATAACTACATTTCCAACGTAAATACATTAAAATGCAAATGCGTATTCTCAACCTAGTTGTACACTAGATTAGCAATGTATCATTTCTCCTTTTAATTATATACAAATATGCAAATCTGCTATTACATTAGTTAACGAACATAACAACTTATAAACGGGATCATATGAATGTAGTAAATACGTAAATTCCAAAGAGCGCCTCTAATTTTACAATATCTTTTAATCACAAACTAATTATATATGGTATGCAAATATTTGTCATATTAACTGATGGTACATGTGAACTTGTGTACTCACTGTGGGCATGGGTGTAGCTAGAAAAAAATTTAACTCGATGTTGTACATTATTGTAGCTAGTATTGGAATTGAGAGACATAGTAATGGGTCGGCCCAGCCCGTTAACTATGGGTCTTGAACTAGCCCGTGGTTTGACCAGTTCGGTTCATGTTAATACTTTATAATTTATACATTTTGAACAGGCGGTTTCGGTCCAAAACTGAAACCGAAACCAGAGGTTCGACCTTTTTTTTTTTAAAAAAAAAATTATTATTTATTAATTACTTTTTACTTTTTTAATGAACTGAGTGGCCAAGAACCAACAATCCAATGAACCGGCCCGTGCATATGTTCCGATTCAGGGCCCTCCAACCCGCGGCCCGGGATCTGCGGTTTCAATTTGAAACCGGTTTTGGCCATGACTATAACCGAATTATTTGTTAGCATATGTCGGTTCAAATTGTGAAAACTCAATCTTGACTCGCTTATATATTTGAACAAGTCAAACTCAAATAGCTAATCGAACTTGTCGATCAAATAAACAGAGCTGAACATGGTTGCAATCAACTCTGTAAGAGATTTTCTTTGTCTAGGAAATGAGGTCAAATTAATTATTTGAGATGAATTCAACAAAAACCAACCGAAAATGGTTAATATACAATGAAACGAGCCCAATTAAATAGCTTGCAAAAGAAGTGTGTGTCAAGCTTAAATATCTAGCTCATTTGGTACTTATCAAGTCAGCCCAGAATTTAAAAGACAACAGAGTGTTGGGCTTTATAAGCCCAATTGATAAAAATATGGTAAGGGCACAATTGTCATTTGATAATAAAGGATTGTCTTCTTTCCTCTCACTACGATATCACTTTTCCACCATTGTTGTCAGATGAACAAATTCGACCTGAATCTTGAGGTATCCAACCTGAAATTAGATGGGGCTAAATAAAAAATTACATGGGGCTATGTATGAAATTTTTAAAAAATTAAAGTTACAAATTTTTTATTTTTTTTTAACATGGGGATGGAACCCACCCTAATCCATGGATGGCTCCGTCCCTGACTGTGGCCATATATAAATTCCAAAGCGTGCCTCTAATTTTACATAAAATAAAATGAGGAATTATGTGTGATCATGAAGAAATAATAGAAGTATACACTTTATCACGAACTTGTTTGTAAGTGGTACATTTTACCCTTTTATAAAGTTGTTGGATCAGTTAATATATGGTTCGCTTATTGCGGGAAGGAGGAGGTAGATGGGTGTCCAGTTTTGTTATTAATATTGGGTTTTGCTCGATTTTTGGTGCGGAATTATGGGGTCTACTCCAAGGTTTGACTTTGGCCTGGGATAAAGGGCACCGCATGGTGGTAGCAGAAATTGACAATAAAGGTGTGGTGGATATGGTGTTGCAGGCTGGGGAGCATACAGGAGCACATAGCAGCATTATTCAAGGAATTAAAGGGTTGTTGGCAAGGGAATGGACAATAGAGGTCCGACATGTCTATCGTGAAGTGAACTTCACAACCGACTATCTTGCGTCAGTGGCCTCGATCATGTCGAGTGGATTTCACATACTTGAAGACCCTCCCACGGGGTGAAACCGTGGCTTGAACATGATGTTCTAGGGGTAGCTTACCCTCGTAATGTAGTATTATAAGGCACTCGCCT